ATGTTTGTATGTCCAAACTATTTGTAATGTTCAAAGGTATAAGGTACATTGAGTGTATATGAGTAATTCATGAAAATATGTTGACATGACATGACTGTTACCCTTCAAACTCTGGTCCCTCAGACTGGGTCAGACACACAGTTTGAGAGAGTCTTGATTTTGTTCATACATAAGGAGCATCCACAGAGTTTCCTCATGGACTCACAGCACTAGGTGGTCTGGCACGTTGCTGGTCATCAATACCCCACTGCATACATTGATGCTCATTGTGTCAATCACTTGATTGGCTGGCCCATACTCAATTATTTTCAGACTGCCGTCATAGAATGTTGCTGAGAATGGTATTAGACAACAAACTAACAAACAAATAAACAAATATTTCAACCCAAGTTGTCAGCTTACCCAAAGTTTAAGATTTGAAATCTTATTTTCCCAATTGCTGTGATTACAGCTGTATGTCTCAGGGAGGAAATTCACCAATAAGCAGAAGATGATGAATCTCATCAGGAATGAGGTAGTAAATCCCCCCAAAAGATTTTAATTCCCCATAATGATGGGGCAGGATATTATTCTCGAGAAATCTAATCTCCAACTTGTGGTATGTATATTATAAAGCAAAGGTATGCAAGTAATAGCAGTGAAGCTTGGTATTTGTCTTTGTTTGGTTTTTATAACTTGTATACCCCCCACAATGTTCCATTGATTTCCCATGCCATGTTATACTACACAAATATTCTCATGCATGTTGTCATCATGAATATACCCTGGCTGGGATCTCAGGGTGTTTCTGAGAAACGCTCATGAACAACCACACCTTCTATTTGAGTCTCTGTAGGCAAAGTACCCCACCCATCCTGGCTTTATGTGAGAGAGTATTTTAACATGGACTGGGTCACAGTAGGTCACACATAACGTCATGCAGCAGTCAATGTTGCTGGCGTAAGAGGTAATCACATGACACAATTAGCTGTGTTACGATACAGTCCCCTGCGAGTCCCCTGCAACACATCACACCCTGAGGATCAATATGACGGTTTTAAAGTTAGGGAAGAAAACAAAAGGGGCGAGTTAAAAGAAGTAGTTAAACTTGTTCTTTGGGCTGATGACGAATGTTGTTGATATATACCACATGAGTGGTGGTGTATAACAAGCGTATTTCCTGGTTCCTGTTTGTCTATATGTGCATATCACCTGTCTACCTCCTCTGAGAACAGTCTGCCACAGCTGTCATCTCCATTTTTAATACTAACATTACGTCGAGAGGAACACTGTTTGATATCACATTAAACTTGTCAAACAACATTACACATATTGTTTGATCCTGTTAAAATTTGAACTTAACACTTTTTATACCTTCTTTTAAATTTAAATTGTAATGTTTGAATATGAATAGTTTTTATACTTTCTATCCAACAAGCCTCCATGACAATGAAATGAGCCTACAGATTTCCTTCATTAAATACTCCTACATTCACAATGTACTCAGGTGAAAGTAAGCACTAGCTAAATGGCTTATGGTGGATATTTTACTGTCTGTTAAACCGGTCTACACAATGAGTAATGCTCTTCAACATAAAGATGAACTTGGTAATGTATCAAGTAGAAATTGTTGCGTGACGCACATGTTGTATGTCTGTTAAATAGACAATATTGTGTCTTCCAAGATCAAGTATATTAAGATGAGTTAATGAAAGTACAAACATCAGGGGGTGATCATTGTTCCAAGGTTTATGTTGTAATGGGTAGAAATAACTGTGTAGATAGTACATCAGAACTGCTTCAGCAGCAGGGAGAAAAATGATGTCGTTTGATTGTGATGTCATGGATATCACATCTCACCCAAGTTACATTTTCTGTGGAAGCCATTATTATATGATAAAATCCTGAAAACCAATGTATTGAAGGTGTGTAGAATGATTGAAACTATAGTATCCATTTTGTCAGTGTTAGAAGAGTAATTTTAAGTAAAACTGCTCCACAACCCCCGGCCACCCCAACCCAAGGGAGTACACCTCTGCCTATACATCTTAATACATGTCAGGGGCGGTGGGGTAGCCTAGTGGTTAAACCGTTACGCTCGTCATTCGCCGAAGACCCTGGTTCGATTCCCCACATGGGTACAATGTATGAAGCCCATTTCTGGTGTCCCCCGCCGTGATATTGCTGGAATATTGCTAAAAGCGGCGTAAAACCAAAAGTCACTCACTCACTCACTAATACATGTCCACCAGGTATCTATATGTTTGACCCAGAACTATGTACTTCCTAAACTAGGTGACTCATTTCACAGTTCTCAATGGGTATATGTCTGTCTTTGAAATCTTCCTTCAGTTGATATTCTCCTGTATTCATTCCAGGCCTGTAGATACAAGTAAAGTGTGACGGTCTATGTACTGTATGTACATGGAAGTCGGGGACACTGATTGGCTGGAGCTACATGTTGTGTATTCTCGTCGAACTGACACACCAGTACATTCTCCACTATAACGCTGGCAGACAACTGTAACTGGGATATATACACAATGTTAGGCATGTTTCTCTACCTTCAATGAAGGAGTTAGCAAAGTTCATATAAAAAGAAATATCTTATGACCTTCAAAGTAAAATGCACGTATGTGTTCATCAGAATGTATTTGTATTTACATATGTTTTATAGTATATCAATTAATGGACAATCACCCTAAAGTCCATACATGACTTCCAAACATGATTGAAAATTTACATTAACAATAAGGCATGAATGTATAATGCCCCTTTTTTCAAGAAAGAAGAGCCCCAAACATGAACATTAAGTATGACTATGACAAATAATTACTCAGATATCATTTAGTTTTCTCTGTGTAGTAGTGATGATGTGATTCATGTGATATAGAATTATATGGCATACCATGTAATTCTCATTTCATATGAGCCTTTGTGATTTATTTCCATGAAATGCAACACATGTCAGTATGAATTCTTACAGGTGTATGAGACAGGTTATGTCACCTCTATCAGTGTTTAAGGAACATGGGTGGCCAAGTTGTATGAAATGCTGCACATCACTTAGCAGAGTTGTATCCCTTAGGTATGCAAGAAACCAGTAACCTATCGTTCAAATCCCTGTATCACGCCTTGCTTGAGGGTTTCACTAATGAGGAAAAAATCTTAGACCAGTATCACTGCGAGCATTCCTTCCACATCAAGCGGACGTGCTGTGATAGAACTGGAATACTGTGCAAAGTGGTGTTAAATCCTACATGCTTGCTTGTGCAAAGTGGTGTTAAATCCTACTTGCTTGCCTGTGCAAAGTGGTGTTAAATCCTATGTGCTTGCCTGTGCAAAGTGGTGTTAAATCCTACATGCTTCCTGTGCAAAGTGGTGTTAAATCCTACATGCTTGCCTGTGCAAAGTGGTGTTAAATCCTACGTGCTTGCCTGTGCAAAGTGGTGTTAAATCCTACATGCTTGCCTGTGCAAAGTGGTGTTAAATCCTACATGCTTGCTTGTGCAAAGTGGTATTAAATCCTACATGCTTGCCTGTGCAAAGTGGTGTTAAATCCTACATGCTTGCCTGTGCAAAGTGGTGTTAAATCCTACATTCTTGCCTGTGCAAAGTGGTGTTAAATCCTACATGCTTGCCTGTGCAAAGTGGTGTTAAATCCTACATGCTTGCCTGTGCAAAGTGGTGTTAAATCCTACATGCTTGCCTGTGCAAAGTGGTGTTGAATCCTACATGCTTGCCTGTGCAAAGTGGTGTTAAATCCTATGGTATCTGACCCGGCGGCGGAGGTCCTGTGCAAAGTATTGGTGTTAATTCCTACATGACAAAATAAGCGTATTTTTTGCCTGTGCAAAGTGGTGTTAATTCCCTACATTCTCACTGCCTGTGCAAAGTGGTGTTAAATCCTACATGCTTGCCTGTGCATGCAAAGTGGTGTTAATTCCTACATGCTGACCGAGCAGCGAGGTCAAAGTGGTGTTAATTCCTACATGCTTGCCTGTGCAAAGTGGTGTTAATTCTTACATGCATTAAATTGCAAAGTATTTTTGTTATTTTCCTACATGCTTGCCATAGTGGAATAATTACTACATGCACGAGGCACTCACCTCATTACATACCTTATACTTACATTCTACCATGTCTTCTCTATGGTATCTGACCGTGTCCTCCATGGCGAGGTCAGATAATATAGGAAGGTCAGCGAAGTTTCCTATAATTTTTATGTAATGAGACCGAGTGTGGTATTTTATTTATTACCCACTTCTTACATGCATTAAATTGACAAAATAGCGTATTTTTGTTATTTTCTTGTTTCAAACGAAACCGGTTTCATAAAGAGGTTGCGGAAGATTTTTGTACTGTAGTACAATATTTGCATGATGTCAAACTGTAATGACGTCACTGCCTTGGCAACTGACGTCACGATGCATTGCAGTTGCAATCGCCTCATACAGCCTCCTACAGTAAACTACTCCGTTGCACCCCGTTTCTTGGTTTGCAGTTGCTTCATTCGGCTAACATCACTGGTGGAAACATTGCATTTATGTTTTTCGACGGATATAATGTCTCAGTTCGACTCACAATTAAACAGCGACACGGCAACGTTCGCAATGTTTACATTCCCACAATGCATTTAAGTTGTAGAATGAATGAATTCACGTGTTTGTTAAGAATGAAAAAATAGTTACGTCAGAATGTGACCTAATTGAGAGGTCATCGGTTATCCAATCAAATCGTTATAATCTCAGGTCAAGTCGTTACGACACAGGTCAACGCGATACGACACTCGTGTGATGTACGAGATTAGTATGCAACTACCCATACGTTAACCATGTAGGTAATAAAATGAGATATAGTCCATATAGCATCATCGCTGGTCTGCAGGCCATGTCAGTGTGTCCCATGTGTTAATGACAGGTACAACTGTTTATGGTAAATATGTGCTACTTGTTTGTCTCATACATCGATAAATGTTGATGTAGATTTGTTGTGTGACCCAGCTGTTGTTTACTTTGCAGTGATCTGAATGAGGACACCATCTTGAAGAACCTTAAAGTCAGATATGGCAAAGACAAAATCTATGTGAGTATCTCAGTGGTGTGTGCATGTTCATGACTGATGGAATATGATAATTAATAGGCCACTTACAGAGTGCACAATTACAGTATATGATAACAATGATGTTAATTAGATCATATTATTTCAAGATACAATCCTGTCATGGTCACAAATGCCTCACAAACCAAGTCTCCCCTCAGTCTCATTCCACTCGGTTGGAACAAAATGTGGCATTTGAAGGCTCAACTTTGGCTGAGAATATAAAATGCTGATTTTAAGCTGAAAATATAAAACATATTTAGTTGTAACTCTTCCACATTCAGATGCCTTACTTTCACAGGCTTTGCATTAATTAGGAAAGTGTAGATATAATTAAGATGGAATTGTCAACAGAATCATTACAAACATCTTTTACAATCTTGTGAAACTGTAGCAACTGGATGTACTTTCAATAGTAAGAATGAAAACTAAGCATTTTTGCCACTGATCAACTTCTACAAAAGAATGATGTTGGTTTCAACAATCTGAACTCAGACGTTATGAGGTAACTGGGACGGTGGGGTAGCCTAGTGGTTAAAGCGTTGGCTCGTCACGCCGAAGACCCGGGTTTGATTCCCCACATGGGCACAATGTGTTAAGCCCATTTCTGGCGTCCCCCGCCGTGATATTGCTGGAATATTGCTAAAAGCGGCGTAAAACTAAACTCAGTCAGTCAGTCATTATGAGGTAACTGAGTGTCCCCTGTACCCCGGTGTGATAGATGAGTTAATCAACTGAGAGAGGTCATTACCCTTCAGTCTAAGTCTTGGAGACAGGTGGATACACTGACAAGCCAAGCATTGCCATGACGATAGACGACAGGTGACTGTTGTGATTGTTTATTATTGCTTTATTATACGTGTGATTGCAGATGTCAGGACTTGTCAGTGATTGAGTGCACCCAAGTAGAAACACAATCTGTCTTTTTTATGTTACCTGTCTTGTGGAGGGGGGGAAGGGGGGCTACAGGAGAGATGGCCATGAGTGGGATCAAGGTGGAATTTGAGCGGGAATGTGAGGGGATATGCCACATCAGTGTCAGATTTCCTGTAAAAGAATCAAACTTCTTCTTTTCATTGTATGTGTGGCAAAGACCTATGGGTAATTTCTTTTTTTGGAGTTGAAGTGTAGTTCACAGTTAGAAAGTGAATTACAAATACAGGTACAAAGAAAACACATTCCAGTTAGCATCCTGTCCCTGTAATAATCAAACTGACGCCAGATTGTACTTCAGTTAGTGCTGACTCTTAGTCCTTGCTCAGGAAAACAAGTTTGGAAAATCATTGTGAAAATATTTTTCAAGCAGACATCCAGTGACTTTTATCAGTATCTTAGCACCTGTTTGCCTGAGAAAGCGGAGGGGTAGCCTAGAGGTTAAAGCATCCACTCATCACGCTGTAGACGCAGGTTCGATTCCCCACATGGGTACAATGTGTCCCTCACCATGATATTGCTGGAATATTGCTAAAAGCGGCATAAAACTAAACTCACTCTCTCACTATTACCCTGCCTGGATCTGGATTAAACAAGGGCTTTGGGTTCGAGTTGATATTCTTCTCTGAGTGGGTCATCCATGTTTTACTGTGGCATGGTGTCCCAGTGGGTGAGCAATACCAATAAAATATAATATAAAACCAATATGAGACAGACACTGACAGACAAGCAACCATGCATGCCTGCATGTCTCTATATAAGTATAGTAATCTAGACTACAACCTAAGAGCGCCTTTCATCTCGTGTCATCTCTGCACACTATACAGGGACATATGCAACAAGAAGTGTGTATATTCATTGAGCGCTATGTGTTGTGAAGCAGTAACATACCTGCCAGGCATCTGACCGTAACCCAATGTCGTAGTTCAGCCTTAAACATCGGCAGCCATTATTGTTGTGTCACGCAGGATTACCTTCCTCCAGACCTGGTCCTTCCACATGCTTGACGTCTTGTCATCATGATACACATTTGTTCCATATATACATGAACTTTAGAAAACAATTAGAATCGTCCTTTAAAAGTCCTGTCAGTTGAAATTCCCAGACATTGTGATGTCTTTTTGATGAACAGGAGGTGGAATCATTGCTCTTTGATGCATGGATAAGTCAGACCCTTGAATCACTTAACTCAAAAATAAATGTTAAGGTATACTTGTGTACATAATAGAAATTACACCATTAGGGCTCTTAATTGTAGTAGTTAGTGTGCAAAACATTCACTAATTTTTAAATGTATTTGGCTTGAAAAAAATTAAACATTCAGATTAGTACAGCTACAAATGAATAGAAACAAACAAGTCTTAACATGGCAAGATTTTGAACACTAAACTGACTGCTTTGTTTTGTTAGGGAGAGTTTCTGGAATACTATTTAATATCTGTGTTTATATTACATGTATCTATCATGAGTGGGGCTGTAGGGTAGCCCAGTGGTGAAAGCATTCACTCATCACGCCAAAAACCCGGGTTCGATTCCCTACGTGGATACAATGGGTGAAGCCCATTTCTGATGTCCCCCGCCATGATATTGCTGGAATATTGCTGAAAGCGGTGTAAAACTATTCTCTCACTCACTCTATCATGAACAGCTATAACATCTTCTGTTGTTATTTTTCATTTGACCTAATTGAAAAAGAGTATCAGACCAAATGTATTTTGTTTTCTCTTTTCTACCACTCCCGCTTTGTTTTGTTATTGTTTAAAATGATCTGGGCTTCTCAGGTCAGACAGCTTTGTGCATATCATGTGCCAGAGTTATTGATGCCATGTTATCAGTTAATGAATGACTAATGAACCAGTCCTTGGGGATGATGGACATGGCAACACAGGGCACTACTTGAATGTAATCATAGCTGATCAGCTGCTGCTGGAAGCTGTTCTTGTGTCTGGTCATATCTCCCAGGATTTTCCATGTACACTCCATGTTCCTGATGTGTTGGAACCGTATGCCCAAGCATGTCATACAGATGGAATTAAGATGACATTCAGGGACTTCATATTCAGATAGATATACTTGTTGGGTCAGATCTTCACACCTTTACATCTAGAATTGCGAAGAAACTATAAAAGTGAATACATTTAATTTGACTGACTGACTGACTGAGTTTGGTTTTACGCCGCTTTTAGCAATATTCCAGCAACATCACGGCAGGGGACACCAGAAATGGGCTTCACACATTGTACCCATGTGGGGATTCGAACCCGGGTCTTGGGCCTGACGAGCCAACGCTTTAACCACTAGGCAATCCCCACCGCCCCCATTTAATTTGAAGTCTTAAATACCTCTCCATGCAAGGAATAATGAGTAATTGTGAAATGAAACTAGATATAATTAATTTTTAAGTCAACAAATGGTTCAGTGTCAACTAGTTATAATGATCTTTGTTTTTATGAATATAAGAATTGAAAACATTTCTTTCAATTGATTTACCTATATGAACAGTAGTCAAAAGTTTGTTTTACCTTAAAACTTAAACTATTAGTCACCAACTCTATTTGTGTGGTATAGATATTGTGATAGTTGAAAGACTTGGACACTCTGCATTGTGACTCACTGACCACAATCATTGACAAGGCAGCCATAAACATAGCTCTCACAGAGGGCTACACTGGATGACAATAAGTTGATAGGAAATCAGTACTTTGTATCACACATATGTCATATGCAGGGCACCTGTAGCTGACAGTCATGACAGGCCTGTTACCAGTAGTTGTCATGCAGTAGTATAGGGTGAAGAAGTGATGTGGATTCACATGTAAGCCTGAGTCTCCAGATTTCAGGGAATCTGTCCCTACTTATTTTGGACCATATAACTTAGAACTCAGAACAGTACACACAGAGAAGATAGGAGTAGTTTCCTTAACTTAACACACCCAGTCCATCTTGTCACCTGTCACAGAAGCCTCTGCTTGTCCTAAGTTGTGACTTCTTGGATCTGGTGGTCAGCCTCTATGACAACTGATTGCATGTCACCATATCTCAGTTGTGTAAAATAATGCTCATGATGTCACTCACTGGATTCTGTGGACTAACAGGATTTACAACCCATCATCTTGAATAATGCTGAGTGTCACAAATAAACAACCCAGGTGTATCATGTAAAATGTTTATCAGGGGCTGATCTTCACTATGCAGATGATAAGTTGTTTTCAGGAAGCCAGTGCAGTAATCACATTTACATATTCAGCTTCAACTTGATGACTTCAGTGAATGACCTTGAAACAGCACTCACAGTTGAAACAAGTACACCTGTTAGTCACGTCATAAACACTGCATTGTCTTCTTGAATACACTCATGTAATGTTAGTGATTCCCGTAAAAAATATGGAGAATGATCATTATAAGATCTCCATTGTCGCTTTGTTGGGTGGCTCAAGGGATATCTGGTCATGTATATTTCATTAGGTCTGTGGAGACAGCCGTGTCACCAGGTACATGTTGACTGGTGTGGGTTCCTTGTCAGCTGGATGTGTACCTATTGTAGTACACCAGGTACACTGAAGAAATACACGACTTAATTAAGTGTTCGTATATATAACTCGATCAGGTGGATATTGTCAGTCACAGTGGATTGTGGGGATGCATTTGTCTTTGTCCTCAGTATACAAGGTCAATATCTAGGTAAATAACTCTGTGTTTGGCTTGTTTTTTTACACTAAAATCAAAGTTCTGAGGTTGCAGTGGCTAGACGTTAGAACCTACCTACCTACCTACCTACCTACCTACCTACCTACCTACCTACCTACCTACCTACCTACCTTCCAACCTACCTACCTACCTACCAACCTTCCAACCTACCTACCTACCTACCTACCTACCTACCTACCTACCTACCTACCTACCTACCTACCTCCCTCCCTCCCTCCCTCTTCAGAGTCTAACAAACAGTCTAGGTTATAATTCCATGACAAGCAAGGGGTACCTGTGAAGATCCAGGCTAGAGTTGATCTTCAGCAACCCTTGCTTGTCGTAAGAGACGACTAACAAGGATCGGATGGTCAGACTTGCTGACTTGGCAGACACATGTCATCATATCCAAACTGCGTAGACCGATGCTCATGTTATCGATCATTGGATTCTGTGGTCCAGACTCGATTATTTACAGACCGCTGCCATATGACAAGAATATTGTAGAGTGCAGTATTAAACAACAAACAAATAATAATGCTATGTTAAAGTTATTAAAGCACCAACCGATCTTTGAAATAAGTTATGTTTGCCACATCAGTGGCATGCAATGACTGGAGAGTCTGTTCAGAGAGATCTAATCTGGGGAGCTGTTACTGACTTTATTGTCATGCTTTTGTTGGGCTGGAAAGGGTGGTTATGACCGTATTCAAATGTGTATCCCATCCAGGTTAAGTACTTGAAAATTACATAGATATCAAATTCCTTTTTAGGGTTGGAAATAAAACAATTTACAATTTTGTGTCACTAGGATTTATTAACTTTTCTACCACCTCAACTGACAGTTGCCCCAACTCAAGTACTAGAGATCGGACATAGTGCATATCCTTGGATGTAAAACGTCCAGTGAACATTGTGATGGAGCCCAACAAGCTGACTCTCAGGGATGGTGAATACTTCTGTTGTATCGACAGCAGTACAACAGCCTCCTGGTGTTTACAGAGTCTTCTCACAATGTCGGAAACAGGGATCCCTACTCATATACCCCATTACAACAACCTGCATGGGATTACCAGATCAGATGGTATACCTACAGTAACTCCAATGCAGACCTACACTCAATGATGTCTACTCATGAAATGTGGGTGTATCCCTGCAATCAGTCATTGGATTCCCAGGTAGAATAAGTTCACATGAAACCGGAAAAAAAACATTTAAAATTTGGTTATGTGGACATATTATTTCATGGTTACTCTCACCTAAGCTCCATAAGCGAGTTCAGTATTCTGTTTATTACTCTCCAACATAATTTGATAGAAACTGCCTACAGTGTGATGACTCTCAGCTTTTCGTGAGTCAGGCAAGGTCTAATGCCATTGTGACAGAGGTATTAGCATTGTGATGTCATAACTGTAAACCATTATGACGTCATACGTCTAGCGGTATTACACTAGTGTAATATTGCCATAAAAATATCTTACATGGACAAGTAATAAAACAACATCACTTCATCATCCATGCCAACCAACTGCATATCCTGGCAGTGTGCCCAATCATCATGCCAGTGACTATTCACTTACAATTCCTCCCAGAATCAATCCAGATATTTCTGTTCCTACCACATCATCTTCCAGTGGGTGGAGCATCACCAGCATCTCCTTCTACACATTGTGGGGGAGGTCACCAGCCCCTACTGCAGATATTGACTTAATAATTGTCTGCAGGAGTCCTGTTGTTTATAGTGAGCCAGGATAATTGTGTGTAAATGCTACATGGTATTTCAATTAACGTATCAGCTTGTTTGAGAGTATAATAATAAGGTAGTGTTTAATTTCCTGGAATGTACCATGAGACTTACTTCAGTGCTGCAGATCTCATGGTGTTAATGTTATTGAGATCAGATGGTGTTGATGCTATGGATTAAAGATAACACTTCTAGGGAATTATAGGCCGTAATCCCCTCACAGGGGTTATAGCACCTGAATACCCTATACATACAGGCAACAGAGGTATCCAGAGACTGGGAACAATGCCTCCACATGATGCCTCCAAGTTTCTATACTTTATTCAGTACTGATGTAGGCCATCAGCTCTTTATCTTGTAAGATATATTTTATGTAGGATTTTAAATAATTGTTTGCAAAAGTAATATGAGATAAAAAATTCTGCTCCAGTAGTAAAGTTGGGAGCATAATCCATGAACCCCTATTACCTGACCCTACCCCAATAATAGAGTCGAGTACAAAATATTTGATTAGCAATCATTTTACCGGAGCCCAAATATAATCATCTGACCATGCATACACTGAGCTTGACTGAAGTTTTCTATTTATTCAAACATATTCAAGTCAGAAGAAATGTGTGTTTAGTCAGAAAGAAATGCAATCATTAGCAACTTGTGTGTAGTGTATCCATGAAGGTTTGTTATGCCAATATAGCCCTGGTAACTAACACTGGTGTAGGGCGCCCTGGGGATACCCTGTTCCTACTCAGGACCTACAACACCGACTACCTGAGTCACTCATCCAGCTCAAGCAAATAGTTTATCCCCATATATAGTGTTAGGTCCCCTTCTCAAAGATGTGAATAGCTGCAAATTTGTTGATGCTGAATAAATCAAGTGCTCACCCTTTCAAAGAGGACACAGAGCAGACACTACTCCGGTTTAGCACAGATGATAAAATCATGGAGCCTTCTCCATTAGAAAAATATTTAGTTATATTCACAATCTGACAATGTAACCTGTGATTGTCAGTTCAAGAGAATTGTTGAATGTCTTTTCAATGATGCTACTGTTGACACATTAAAGATATTTTCATTTATTTTATCAACTGTTAATATCCAGTTTGATATCTCGGATCTTCATTTTCTCAGATGAGTTTGGGGTGTTGACTGTCACTGCTGGTATACCAGTGTTGTCCAGCAAATACTGTAATTATTAGTCCTTGTCCCTCATCAAGACTTGTTCTCTCAGAACAGTGTGAAGATGTCAGCCCCAGTTTTTATCGTTTACAGATGTCTTAAACCTTCCTGACAGGGACTAAAATGGCTGTGTGATCCATCAAACCAAAAATATCCAAAAAGTAAAAAATAACGGTTCTCCTCAAAGGAAAAAATGTCTTTACCTTACATGAGTGATAGATTGACTTACATGATGTCACTGGAACATTCCCATACACAGCACTTCAAGTGGTGCTATGATAACAAAGTCATACAAGCATACCTCCATGATTTCGTCTTGTAGATGGTTAACTGTCTTTAGAGACTGTCAGCATCAATCATCATGCAAAATATATTGCTCGAGGTAAAATCCCCTTTCTCTCCCTCCTTCCCTCCCTCCCTCCCACACTCACTGTGTGTGACCTATGTGGGCAGCATCCTTGTTGTGGCAACTCACTCACTCACTCACTCACTCACTCACTCACTCACTCACTCACTCACTCTGTGTCGTGTTTCAGACCTATGTGGGTAGTATCCTGGTCGCCGTCAATCCATACCGGATGTTCAGCATCTATGGATTGGACATGGTCAAGAAGTATGAAGGACAAGCCCTTGGAGCCCTCCCACCGTGAGTATAAACTGTACTACTGTAACCATGGTAACATTCTGTACCATGAGATTTAAGACAACATACCTAAGTCTGGTGTCAGTGTCTCGTTTACATATCACAACACGACAGGGTCTTAATTCACCCAAATGATAACAGTGTTGAGATTAGGTACACATTGCCTATGGTTCTCAGTTTGGACCTGGTTGGCCCAGTTTGAAGTCACACCCAAGTGACACGTGCTGTCATTATCAAACACCAGGTACACTTCCCTTGATGCTCCCCGGGGAGCTGAGAATGGAGACTGTATCAACACTGTTCTCTGATCTGGATGAGGTCTCTATGCTTGATGGACAAGCATTGTGTTAAAATAGCTCTGTATCAATGTTCATGTCATCATCATCATCATCATCATCATCATCATCATGTGATATGAAGGATATATCACTGAAAACCATGTGAAACATGTAGATATTCCTTTATGACCTTGACTGGTTGGTCATGAATCAGGGGCTGTCACAGTGGAAGACTACCCTCACTTTTATAGCAGTTTTATTTCCCAGTAGCATGCCCATAAGTCTAATCTGTAATAAACTGTCATTGACTTCATATCATAAATATAGTTATAGGGCTCATAACTATGTTGTGTGCCTATGTTTAGGCTGATACCGTTTGGACATGGGGAACAAAAGTCAGGGCATATATAATTTGGAGGCTAAAATCAAACATTCCAGAAACTTCTTCGAATCAAATACAACCATATCAAGAATTAAAACATTTCATGACCCTCTTGATGACCAACACTTACTTTTCTGTAGGGTAGCCTGAAGGTCAAAGTGTTTGCTTATCACACCATATGCCCAGGTTTGATACCTCGCATGGGTACTGTCTTTGAAGCCCATATCTGGTGTCTTCCACCATGGTATCACTTGAATACTGCTAAAAGTGACATAAAACCATATTCACTCACTCACTTTAACACTGTAATATGTGTCCCCATTAGTGTGGCTTTTCCAAAGATTTTCTGATTAATTGGGGTAACAGTCTCTCAACAACAAAGCCAATGTTGATAGTTGGTTTAACGTCAGCAGTAAAAGCTTGTCACAATTTTATCAAACCAGTGGAGAATCTCAAATCTTCAACTTTTAAATTCCATTAAAAATGTCACTGGCTCTTGATGTTCAATGGAGAATGTGTGAGATGAGTGACATCAGTCGTGGAGACATGTCGGGAAATACCACAACAATGCTGGTCAAGCCAAGCCACACTGAAACAGTTACTGTTGATGAGCAACAAACGCCAGGGGATTAACTGTGTTGAACGAACATTGCTAAATAACACGCGTGCCACAAGGAACCATTGAAACTGGTTTACACTTCCAAATGTTAAACAAATTTACACTAACAAACAAGTTCAAGTGAAGTTGGTTTTATTTGTTTGCATGGATGGGGCAAGTTTAGCCTAACAATCCGTTCTCTCACTTGCCGATGTTGTCCGTGAGATTACGGAAAGACATGTAGCAAATACACCATTAGCAAGTTCAGTTTTTACCTCCTTTCAGGAGAGTTCGGGAGGACTCTCTTTGATGAGGCTGAGTCAAGGTTCAAATCAAATTAAAGTTGTTGGCAGTGTATAGATTTCTCTCCCAAAAGCACAGACCTGTTTCTATTTTCAGTTGGGAAGGAAATATTATGTCAGATTCTTTCTTGAGCTGTGTGCTTTAGTAAAAAACAGTCTTAAAGAAAACTTATAGAGGGCAAGTTGATGCATGTACCATGTCTGGATGTGTTTGTCTGACATGTTGCTAATACAATGTATTTGTTTCTGTTTCTTGGTCAGTTATTTGAAACTTTATGCTTTATTACCTTGACTTAGTAGTATAATAGTTTTATAAGAATATAATTGCTAAGAAACTACTCTTGACTGAATTCAACATTTGGAAGCTTTGATTGGTTCAATACTTGGATTTGTCATGGCAATATGATAACAGTGTTTTACTCTGAGCCTGGAAACAGGGAAATTCTTTGTGTCTACAACTTGACGTGGAAGTATGGAGGGCCACAATGGCTGCTGAGGATGTATTGTGTTCACGAGTTGCAAGATAAGAGATGATCTTACATAAAAAAAATATTTTCTTCACTTCAGAGGTAATTTATTGAATTTTAACATTGGATTTGATGCAGTAATGCTAATCTATGCATTTAAGCCTTGTCTACACTAGCAGTGAAATAAAGCCATGACAACGGTTAGAAGTATAGCAGCATGAAGTTGGATATCTTGAATTGGGTCTAGAATAGGGATGAATGTCAGGTATGACTACATCCATGACGTATAAGCCCATTATAATGATGCCCTGTGTTTCAGGCACCTGTTTGCTGTGGGCAGCACGTCTTACTGTAAGATGATCAAGGACAGCGAGAACCAGGTTATTGTGATCAGGTAAGAAGATAGTCACAAACAATGCTCAAATCACATGCCAAGATCCACATCAAACATGTCTTATTCCCACAACTACAACATGTCTTTTACACCATTGCCACATCCTGGCGTGTTGGCTGTCGTCACACTATGCAAAATCTTCAGTATTTCAGCAGAAGTCCGCTTTAGTGTCTACTGTCCTTAATTGTTTTATGCAAATGATATTATCCTGAAACCCACACCTCTTGACGAGGAACATCTCACGTCTTTCCTGTGTGTGTTAGCATCAACACCTACAAGCTTTCAGAGTTGTCAGAACAAATTATGAGGACCCCCTCATAGTATGCAGGAAATATCTCATCATAAAGTCTTAAGTTTGTCCATTGATTGTGGTGTATATGCATGTAAACACACCTTTACAAATATATTAATATCTATAAACTATTACAGGTATTGTCCTTTCAGGATTTTTAAATAATCCTATATTAGCATTGTCATCACAGTTTTGGCTGTTGATCACAGGATGTCTCTATTCAAATGTATTTGGCCAATCAGAGCCAAAAGCCACTGACAAAAATCAAAATAGGAATAATCTAGTGTATTTCTATTTGTCCACATACTGGCTCTTTATAAACCTAGTTAACTACAAATATCAGACCAGAATGTAACTGTTAGCTTTCTGCTTCATAATTTAACAAATGCCACTGACAAAAGGACATGCTACTGAAGTAGCACTAAACATCATGATCTTTAATGCAATAACCTTTTTCCCCTAAACCAAACAAATCATAAAAACAGTTATGCAAAAGTATAAAAATTTTCATTGATCAAGTTAACTGGCTTGAACAAATCTATAAACTGTCTAAGGCATTGATTTGAGTTAATGAAGACGAGATAAAATGGGTGAAGTTCCCCACCCAATTCCCCTCATAAGTTTCACATTACAGCACAGGGTAGTCAGGGTGTGCCCGACAATGTGATAGAAATAAACTGGTGAAATTCAAACGGGTGCTAATCAGCTTACGTGTCTTGGTTTCAAACTGTGCATGTTGAGAACAACAGATGTTGGAGAGTACACAACATCGGAGAGGAGTGTCAACACCGCCACAGCGGCACCCTGGCAACACTGGTGCCACAGAGAGGCTGGACAACTCCTGGCGGGTCATCGGGGAGTAAATCATAATGGCCGACATTTCGCTGCAAACATGAACCTCTGACATCATGTTTTCTTAAAGATAGAGATGATTCAATATAATCTCAAAGTCATGACAAATATATCAGCATGTTGGTTTTCTGTTTTTATTAATTTATTAAACTTTTGTATTAATTTTATCCATTTCAGTAATATTTACAGAATTATTTTCATTATTGAATTGTGATGGAATTAATTTTTGTTACAAGAGTAAATACTATAATTTACTTGACAAAGTAACTTAAAACTGCTTTGATATGTACATTATCAATGAAACATTGTGTGTCAGTGCCTGACAAACAGTAATGTGGAAATATAACTTGACTTGTGTTCAACACATCCTTCAGCATGGTCCGTGCAATCAGCTGATAATGGGTGTTTCGTAACACTGCCTGACGTCACATATCTTTTCTCCTGTTCTGGGAAGATGTGTTGAGTCATTTTGCTTGGTATCTGAAAAATTTCAAAATAGAATAAATTGTGTTATACCCTCAAGCCTGAGGTATTTACATGCACCTGACCTTGTTTGTGTCGGAGAATGGAAAGAGATGTCTCTCCAGGGATGTCAGGGATGTTAACCCTATTTAGTTACCTAATGCATTCAGGGTGACTAACATTAACATTAAGATTTTAAAGCCATGTATGTCCCATCAGTGTAATGCTGGGGTTTATACTCTGTGGTGTGTCCTGTGTCTCAGGGTGGTTGTGGTGGGGGGCTGTAAGGGAGCATGAGGAGGCATGTTGTACGATTACTGTACAGCAAATGCTGATACAGGATTATGTTTGGGTGTGGGGTGCACAGCTTGATGTGGGCAGAAAAAACACCCTGCACCCAGCCAACTCTAAGTCAGTGTTCTAGGGAGGGGTAGTATGTATGGGACATTGTTTCGGGATACGTCAGTATTCTAGGGTGGGGGAGAGGGGTGGTGTGTTTGAGCCATTGCTTCTGGATAAGTCAGTATTCTAGGGTGAGGGAGATGGGTGGTGTGTTTGAGCCATTGCTTCTGGATAAGTCAGTATTCTAGGGTGGGGAGATGGGTGGTGTGTTTGAGCCATTGCTTCTGGATAAGTCAGTATTCTAGGGTGAGGGAGATGGGTGGTGTGTTTGAGCCATTGCTTCTGGATAAGTCAGTATTCTAGGGTGAGGGAGATGGGTGGTGTGTTTGAGCCATTGCTTCTGGATAAGTCAGTATTCTAGGGTGGGGGAGATGGGTGGTGTGTTTTGACCATTGCTTCTGGATAAGTCAGTTTTCTAGGGTGGGGAGAGAGATGGGTTTTTTTTGCCATTACTTCTGGATAAGTCAGTATTCTAGGGTGAGGGAGATGGGTGGTGTGTTTGGTCCATTGCTTCTGGATAAGTCAGTATTCTAGGGTGGGGGAGATGGGTGGTGTGTTTTGACCATTGCTTCTGGATAAGTCAGTTTTCTAGGGTGGGGGAGAGAGATGGGGGTTTTTGCCATTACTTCTGGATAAGTCAGTATTCTAGGGTGAGGGAGATGGGTGGTGTGTTTGGTCCATTGCTTCTGGATAAGTCAGTATTCTAGGGTGGGGGAGATGGGTGGTGTGTTTGGTCCATTGCTTCTGGATAAGTCAGTATTCTAGGGTGAGGGAGATGGGTGGTGTGTTTTGTCCACTGCTTGTGGATAAGTCAGTATTCTAGGGTGGGGGAGATGGGTGGTGTGTTTGTGCCATTGCTTCTGGATAAGTCGGTATTCTAGGGTGAAGGAGATGGGTGGTTTGTTTGGGACATTGCTTCTGGATAAGTCAGTATTCTAGGGTGAAGGAGATTGGTGGTGTGTTTGACTGGCAGTGATAGTGAGGTGAAGACTATGAATTGGGTCCAGTGTGGATAAGATGTGTAGGGTAGCATAGAGTGGCACCAGGCAATGTCACTTGATTCAGGGTGCAAGGCAGCCAGGTTTGTTTTATGCAAGATATGCTTCCTTTGGGTTTGAGAATGAGGACTGGAGGCAATTAAAGGATTATGGGATTTGGAGTATATTATCACCCAGACAAAGACTAACAGATGATATATGGGTCATATCACCCCAGTACACTGGGACATACAAGGAACATCATGGATAGAAGTGTAAGGCTTATGCTTGACAGCAGTTCTAAAGGGTTCCCACCATGCAACATAAAGGACAAGGAACAAGTGTCATGAATAAACAAACAACACAAGCCGGAAGTATGGTGCAGTTCACACTCATGGGAGTTCTTCAAATAAAGGGAGATAACTCCTGTCTTGTGTGAATAGTGTGGTGTTAGAGTAAACAATCCCCTCATAACAGAGGGATTAGATACTGTATGAATGCTGTGAGCCTGTCCACTGGTCAAGCAGGTTTTCCTTTACCATGCAGGTGGACATGATCTAGGTCAAATCAGTATCTCGACTACTGTGTGTGTATGATCAATGATTAACAATAACTATTGATAATAATTTTCTGATTGACAATATCTGAGTTATGACCACATCCTTCTAGAAATTCATGGACAGCACTACTCATGTTGAACCAAAACATTACCGTGTGTGATAAGGGATATGTAAAACAAGATGGAAGAATCGTCAGATTAGAAAGCCAGTGTATTACCATCTTCATAAATGTATTGTATAAATCATTAAGTCTGGCTTACCTCCCTGCTGTGACACGATGTAGTTGATGATGGAGGTGAAGCATGTCACGGTTCAGTTGTTGCTGTGCAACAATGTATGACATCTTTTCATTATTCAGAATAAATCTCTTGAAAATAGACTACCTATTGTTGCAGTGTTCTGGGACAGATCCATCAAGAATACCTAGTGCAGCTTATCTGTATTTGTTGGGGATTTTGTTATTTTGAAATCAGTTGTAAGGAAACTTGATAATAGCTTTGTACCATGTATCTCCCAGTGGATACAGCAGTGTGACAGTTGTGCCACTTCGACCATCCTAGGAGTCCACTAATCATAGGCTGGAATCTGACACTGGGATAGTGTATTATGGTGGGTGTTATCTACCTGTATGTAACATGAGGCAGCAATGTACTAGGGTAGAGGGGTGTCCAGCTTTATGGTACTGGGTTATCATTCTCCAGCAGGGATATAGTTGTCATCATCTGACAGATAATAATTTGGTTTATGACGCCTCCTGACCGTAGACAGTACTGACCCCTACTGGCTCCTTTATGGCGCCCAGAATAGAAACCTGGTATCGAGGTTATTGGGTACCTGAAATATGTCACATGTACCAATTGAGTGCACAGTGGCAGGTCAAGTATGTGATAAGCGAACAGTCTACACATGATTACATTTCCCTCAAAATGCTCTATGAATAATAATCATAATTTCTTTGTTACTTGAAACCATATGCACTTTGAAAGAAGGGGAAATATCTTATTAAGAAGCTGATAGCAATTCCTTTGTAGAAGTGGTTGAAAGAGTTTAACCACATTAGAGACAGTCAATAATGACATAATTAAACCTTTGTCTCATTATTTTAATGTGAAATGTGGGTGAAGGACTTCCCTATTGGCCAGATTTTACTTCGTGATAAATTAAATTTTATGGAGTATTTAGAGAGATCCAGATTTGCCATTGTTCAAAATATGTAGACCACCTGTGGATGAGTAATAAATGTGAAAGGCAGGTTGCTGCATACCTGTATCTACGTAGATATGGAGCACTTCAACTGCCTCTTTAGTATCTGAGTTGTTTACACAGGTCATTATCTACTGCAGGTTTGATATGATACCCATATATACATCACAGGTTATTGTTAGTTAAACAGGGTTATGTATCTGCCATCTCCGTACAAGGAAAGAAAAATTGGCAGGCAATGTTTTTGTATTGCCCTGATCAAGAATTAATACAATGTTATGAAAAACAACTCTAATATATTTTACTATTGCTAGGAAATAATAAAAATATATTTGTGATTGAAATGCTTCCTTTTTTTATTTGTGACCTACCAACCTGAATTTTAGAGCAAAGAAGTCTGATTTGATTTTTTCACAACAAACAAATGAATTTCTGCCCTTACATTCCAGCAGGCATTGGTACCCTACTAATATATTCATCTAACAAACTTGAACCGCTCTGGTATGTTATAACATATGTTCAAGGAGGAAATAAAATAAAAATATCATACTCGTCTCCTTCTATGTGTACCAGGCTGGGGAACCAGGTGATTTATTACACCCATATTGTGTAAATTTCCAAGGAATCCAGGCAATAAAGATAACAAACATGCTGAGCATTCCACGCTCCAATTCCTCAGAAAAGAGCAATGTAATTGAGATGATTTAGTCCAGGTCTTTTATGAAGTTGAAAGTAGACAGAAGACAGCAGACAATACAGTAACAGTGGTGGGCAATGCTAAACTTTTATAACACATGCAAACTGAATGTGTGTTAACTATCAGAACCACACCATATGTCTATCTTTAAATTGTAGAAATTAAATGCAGTGGGTTTACTGGGTTGAGTTTTTCTGACTTTTTCATGATTCTACTCTATTTTTAAATAATATAGATAGGCCATGATTTGTCAGTATCATAATTTAAATTGAAAAAATGTCTCCAGGACAGTTTGTTTGTAGTCAATCAATGTGTCAGAAAACAAAAAAAATCTAAAATGCCTGGAAATGTCATTTCTCATCAGGCATCCAAGCTCCCATCTATCATGTAATATTTCTGTAAAAAGTCAATGCCATCAGCAATTATACAGTCATACACACTCAACAGATACATGATTTTTAGCCACCTCATTTAACCATTCCATAGCTCCTGTATATCTTTATTGCACGATTCACCGTCCACATGATGCTTCTGTATTTTCCCTCTTGTCCAAGAGTCCAGTATGATTGCTGTTAAGACATAGCAACACAAAAATAAAGTTAGGAATTCAGTTGGAGACATACTTTGGGAACTGAATGTTAATGTGGTCATTGTTTCAGTGGTGAGAGTGGAGCCGGTAAGACAGAGAGTACCAAGCTGATTATGCAATATCTGGCAGCGGTGAATAAATCCCGTCACAACCTCATCACAGAGCAGATCCTGGAGGCAAACCCACTCCTTGAATCCTTTGGTAACGCCAAAACAATACGCAATGATAACTCAAGTCGATTTGGGAAGTACATTGAAGTTTTCTTCAAAGAGTAAGTGATATTAGCACTATTTGTTTTTGTAACATGTTACTCTTTAAATATGATCTTCACATAAAGTGATATATTTGGTAAATTTGCGTAGTACTTTGACATTGTCATATGACTAGGAAAACTGCAACTTTGCACCATGTCTAAGATACATCTTGATTCACAATCAATAATATTTTGGTGATAATGACCTTGTGTTTTTATGCTCTGACATCACAAGGTCATAATTCTGTTTGATCAATGCATGTGAATGATGTAAAATTAATGGTTATGAACTGATTATTGATGTGCTGAACTGTTGAAGGTGCACAGAGCTAATTTTTGTATAATTTACTTGTAAAGAAAAATCGTGGAATATTAACGTAATCAAATATTGCTATAACTTGTCTAAATCATATCTTTTTACATTAATTACATTCGCAAACACAAATAAAGCGATACAAATTCTTTTACAGTGGATCAATTGTTGGTGCAAGAACACTGGAATATTTGCTGGAAAAGTCGAGGATTGTCACCCAGGTAGGTACTGGAATATGTCTCCTAAGTTGAAATGTCAGTAATGGTTGTGGTCAGAACAGCCTGTACTTGTATTGGGTGGTCAGGTGTGTACTCTCCAGACATGCTATTACACAAGTTGTCTATACCACTGTGATATACTGCCCAGTATTTGTGAAGGACCATATACTCTTGACTAAGATGACAATTCTGCTCTTTATCAAGTGTTGAGTAATATAATTGACAAGGAAGTGACTTTTTTCACTTAACCTAACTATAAATCACAAAGTGCATGTTTATAATGCACTAAATTCACATCTTAAAGTATGCTCAAAATACTTAACACCATTGTGTCTGACCTGTGGGCGTGGAGTACATGGATCACTGTGATTTACAATTTAGTACGAATTGACTTGATCTCATACAGAACGTCTCAAAATCTGTGTTTATATAGATGGATGGAGGCATGCATGCATACATGCATGTGTATCTAGAGGTCAAGTACAAATTGTTTCTGTTAACTGCAGTGCGTGCCAATTTGACATAGACATGATGTGATATTTAGAGAATAGTGTTGGGTGGCTAACAAAAGCCTTTAATGTGTATATATATTACAATACAGAAACAGGTTCACATGAGAGGGAATTGGTCCTTTCAGTAGACTCAATATATTGTTTAACATTAGGAGTTCCTTTGCCTCACATTTCATGACTCAACAAAAGTTTTGTTTGACATCTTGTTTGGCGTCAGTGTGTGAGGGTAGTGGTGTTGTATCCATGCTTGGAGGCGGCATCAGTGTGTGAGGGTAGTGGTGTTGTATCCATGCTTGGGGGCGGCGTCAGTGTGTGAGGGTAGTGGTGTTTTATCCATGCTTGGGGGCGGCGTCAGTGTGTGAGGGTAGTGGTGTTTTATCCATGCTTGGGGGCGGCATCAGTGTGTGAGGGTAGTGGTGTTGTATCCATGCTTGGGGGCGGCATCAGTGTGTGAGGGTAGTGGTGTTGTATCCATGCTTGGGGGCGGCGTCAGTGTGTGAGGGTAGTGGTGTTGTATCCATGCTTGGGGCGGCAGGGCCAGTGTGTGAGGGTAGTGGTGTTGGCATCAGTGTGTGAGGGTAGTGGTGTTGTATCCATGCTTGGGGGCGATGTCAGTGTGTGAGGGTAGTGGTGTTGTATCCATGCTTGGGGGTGGTGTCAGTGTGTGAGGGTAGTGGTGTTGTATCCATGCTTGGGGGTGGCGTCAGTGTGTGAGGGTACTACGTGTCACCACCATCCACAGCTTCAACATCAGTTACCCAATCAACATATTAGCCTTCAGACTGAGTGTACCTCTCATTAATCACACATGACCGGCCCTGGAGCTGCATGTGCCTGTGGTCATGTGACTGGCAGAGTCATGTCCATGTCATGTTCCACAGTGGGAGACCATATGTGTTTCATATGTATTTCAAAGGTTACGGTGACAGTTGGGAAGCCTAGTGTTTAAGGTCTTCACTTGTCACACCAAAGGTCTGGGGTTCAGTTCCCCCATTGGCATAATACATGAATCCCAAGTCTTGCATCTTACACAGTGATATTGCTGGAACATTGCTAATTGTGTCTTTGAACCCTTTTCACTCACATAAATGTTGATTGTTATTGAAATGTGAGAGAGTTTGCTTGTGATATTGTCTGAGATATTTAACAGTAATAATATACCCACTTGAAGATATAACAAGATATAACTCAAGTTATAACCCCAAAAACATTTTAAATCCTGACACACAAAAAATCATTTATCTGATTCACACTCATATCATTATAGTTTTCATAAAGTAGGACTTGTTCTACAGGGGCAGTGAAGTACCCTAGTAGGTAAAGCGTTCGCTTGTCACACTGAAGACCAGGTTCGATTCCCCACATGGGTACAATGTGTGGAGCCCATTTCTGCTGTCCCCAGCCGTGATTTTGCTGGAATATTGCTAAAAGTGGCATAAAACTATACTCACTCACTCCCTCACATCTTCTACAAAAGATACATGTTTGCAACTTTTGGCTACATGTTATGTCTATGTTGTTTCCAGGCTTCAGAAGAACGGAACTATCATGTTTTCTATGAGATGCTGGAATCGATGTCAGATGAACAGAAGTCCAAATATGGCCTCCAGACTGCTCCCAAGTACTTCTACCTCAACCAGGTGAGTGCAACCTCCTAGTGTACCATCAAGATATGATGAATTACAAACAGTTGACATTTTAGTGTTATCAGTGAGGTGGAAAGTCTTCGAACTGTTTGGAAATACATTTCCTCATTCAGGATCTCATGTTATGTAGCCATCACTACCCTCTTCTCCAAGATCAGGTAGTAAGGTAGCCTTGTTTGCTCCTCATGTGGAAGATCCAGGTTTGATCCCCATACATAACTGAGATGAATGTTGTAGAATGGTGCATGGCATTGATTCTGTGACATCTTCTCCCCACAGGGTGGAAGTTCAGTGCTGCCGGGTCGCGATGATGCAGAGAACTTTCGCAAGTTGCAGTCGGCCATGGACATCCTCAGTTTCCAGAAGTCAGAGAAGGAAACCATCTACAAGATCCTGGCCTCCGTCCTCCACATTGGAAACGTCTACTTCCACACTCTACTGGTGAGGGAAAGAATATAACCATTACCTACATCACCTTTGGTGTGGAGTTACTACATCCATACTCCAAGCAATCTTTGCACATAGGGGATGAAAACTTCAAGGACTTACAACAGCGCTCCACGATTTCTTTGTGAATCACATATCCTAATTGTGTAAATCAATGCTCATGCTGTTGATCTCTGGGTTGTCTGGTCCAGACTCGATAGTTTACAGACGTTGACATATAACTGGAGTAGCGCTGACTGCAGCATTAACCAACAAACAAACAAAATAAATATATGGGAATCAGGGCCGCCGTGATATTGCTGGAATATTGCTAAAAGCGGTGTAAACTCTCTCACTCACTTTGGCAATCAGGGCCCAGTTGAAATTTAAGACTTCATCTGACATTGTTTGTTTTTTTATTATGCATATTTTTTACAAAAGATAACAAATTATAAAAACTGTCAATGATCACAGAAACTGTCACTTCCTGAGATGTAGAGCTTCGGTTGACCTTTCTTTCATACCCCATTATGAACTGTCCTATAGTGTGTAGTAGTGCTCCAACACAGGCCAACAAACTGCTAATCATTTCATTTAACAGTTGATCACCAGATCATGCGTCCATTAAAGTGTAATGACAATAAGGTCTTTGTATATTGTATCTTACAATAATATCCTTTGGAATGGAAAAAAAATATGATTTCAGTCCAGTGCTTAGTATCAATATAATTATTATGATGATATTTTAGGAATTTTGGTCTGTGAATAATCATGATTTTGATGTATCCTTGATCCCATTTTTGTTTGTTGAAGCTGACTGAATTTCATTTGAACCTTTATATAGATCTCATTTGAAGGTGTTCAGATTATGATCAGTATTTGTGTGGACATTGAAATGCAGATTGGTTGAACAGCTGTGCTCCTGATTAACCTGAAATGGAAAGTAGGCACCTCTAGGATTACTCACATTCCTTGTATAATTGTGATTGTGAATGTCATACATGAATGAAAATATGGGTAAAATAGTTACTAAATATATTTAGGCCAGACCAATTTTATTTCTTGTTTTACAGATCCACCGGTCATATTGTTTCAAGAATAAGAAAAAAAATACAAATTAATTTTCCCTGTTCAAAAATATATAATCCTAATGTTTTTATTGGCCAAAAATGTAAACTTACAAGAGAATGGGTTTTTTATTGTTTTTTACCCATATACACTTCATAAATTGCCAAAAGTAAAATACTTTTAATATTTTGTAGGAATATTTCATTGACTGGTGATTTTATTTTTATTTTGTTTCCCTCCTGCCTTTAGGTTTTCTGAGGACAAAAGTCTGTAAAACAAGAAATATAATTGGTCTAGCCTTAACAACAAATAAAAGGACTTTAAATTTAGGGATAATTATCTTTTTGTAGAATTGTGTGTTTGAGTGGCAGATCATACCAAACTTCCCAGTGTGATATAATTATGGATGCAAACAACAAACAAATGAAAAATACCACATTACATATATTGACATGTGAACATAACTTCTCCAAAGGCATATATGTGAAAAGTGTTTGGTGACTTCCTTTAAAACCTTAAACTACAGGTAAAAGTTACAAAAGTTCATTAAAGAAAGGCCCCCAGTTTGCCTCATAACCAGTTCTACAGTCGTAAGCGTAACTTTACTTTCAGAGAGTAAGTGTTGGTATTAGTTCAGTGCACTGTGCTGTTAAATGCCACATACTTGTATTGTGGAAACATCATGTTAGAGAACCTATTTCTTCAGATTGACAACCATGACACAGTGCAGCTTGGCAGTGACGCAGAACTCAAGTGGGTGTCCTACCTCCTGGGTCTATCTGAGGACTGGTTGAAACAGGCACTCACCAGCAAAATCACGGTCAGTTCCTACTTTACTTCTACTTACTGAGTTACGTCATTAATTTTAAGACTGCAAGGTCAAAACCAAATTGAGACATCAGTTCCCATGACTTGTGCTGCATACATGTTTCAATATTATTTGTTTCAGCAAGCACGAGGGGAGAGAGTTGTGTCCCCTTACAACATGGACCAAGCACTTGATGCAAGGTTGGTTTCACGGATGTATAATTTTCAAGTTAGAAATATCATTAATATAAGTATCATTAATAATGATCTAACAGGAACCTAACTAAAATAATCAGAAATATTCAGAGTGAACATGTTTTATGGCATGTATATTTGTGCTTTACAGGGATGCCATATCCAAGGCTCTGTACAGTCGCCTCTTCTCATGGCTTGTAGAGCGTATCAACCAGATCATATGTAAGGCAGAGAGAGAAAAGTCAACATCACTGGCTGTACTGGACATCTTTGGATTTGAGGTAATTGTCATTCTTGTAGTGCCTCCTTTAATAGCAAATAATATCATGCTACCTGTCATGTGTCTTGCATAACAGATCCTCTGAACTAAGCAAATAGACTTATGAAACTTTCAGGTCAAAGAGAGATATGTAACGAAAATATTTTCGTGCCTGTCTTTTGGTTATTCTTAGGGGTTCAGTGATATTTGCAATATCTTAATGAGTGTCACTAAGTGTCTGACATTTTTGTTCCTGCCAGGACTTCCTCGTGAACAGCTTCGAGCAGCTGTGCATCAACTTTGCCAACGAGACACTGCAGTTTTTCTTCAACCAACACATCTTCCGCCTGGAGCAGAAGGAGTATCAGAAGGAAAAGATCCAGTGGCAGCAAATTGACTTCCGTGACAACCAACCCACCATCGACCTGATCTCCAGCAAGCCAGCTGGCATCCTCCACATCCTGGACGATGAATGCAACTTCCCCCAGGTCAGTGATGACATTGGGGCACCTGTCTTCCTGTGTTCGATCCAAGACTTCTGACAGGGACTACAGCTGAGAAGCTCAGAACACAGAACATTGTAACATCTAGAGTAATGTCATGGTTACCACACAGGGGACTTGTTTATAATACCACTGCAACAATGTAGTTCGGAGAAGTTATAACTTAACTGGTCTGCCGTTGTTAATCTTTGTTTAGAGATGTTGTAGCTCTGATGTTGTATTTACCACCCTGTTTCCTGCTGTTGTAGTCCACTGACACTTCCTTCCTGGAGAAGTGTCACTTCCACCACGCCCAGAACAGTCTCTACGAGAAGCCACGCATGTCAGACCCAGAGTTTTACATTACTCACTATGCCGGAAAGATCAAGTACAGTGTAAGTGGATAGAAATATGACTGAGTGTATGTTGATAGTAATCAAACGCTGAATATATTGATAGTAATGCAACATAGTGTCTGTTGATAATAATGTGACTCTATATGTTGATAATAATGTGACACTCTATGTTGATGATAAAGTGACACTATATGTTGATGATAAAGTGACTCTATGTTGATAATAATGTGACACTATATGTTGATAATAATGTGACACTCTATGTTGATGATAAAGTGACACTCTATGTTGATAATAATGTGACTCTATATGTTGATAATAATGTGACACTCTATGTTGATGATAAAGTGACTCTCTATGTTGATGATAAAGTGACACTATATGTTGATAATAATGTGACACTCTATGTTGATAATAAAGTGACACTCTATGTTGATGATAAAGTGACACTATATGTTGATAATAATGTGACACTCTATGTTGATAATAATGTGACCCTCTATGTTGATGATAAAGTGACACTATATGTTGATAATAATGTGACCCTCTATGTTGATGATAAAGTGACACTATATGTTGATAGTAATGTAACACTATCTCTGTCTGTCTTACAGGTCCAACACTTCTTGGGAGAAGAACAAGGACACACTACGCAGTGATGTTGTGGAGCTCATGTGTGAGAGCAAGAATAAGGTATAGACTTATGTCCCGTTATAAAGTCTCTGGATTAACTCTCTCACTGTGCATTAGCATGTATGTGTATGACCATGTGTATAATAGCATTCAGTTTATGATCTCTCGTATTCATCACGTCGGTCCAGATTGGGGTTATGCTCACATATGAAATGTGTCTTCCAGTTAATAGCCCAGATGTTCAAAGAGTTGCGAGATCGCCTCATCACGAAGACTCTCAGTAAAACCACCGGGCGCTATGTTACACTCAAACCTCGCACATCAACAGTTGGAGCAAGTTTCAACGAGAGCCTCATCTCACTCATTGACACCATGTCAAGGTAAACTTCACCCATGATATTGCTCGATGCATTTGACCAGTGATCAATTTGATTTTACGGTCTGCAGAAATTCTGCAGTTATTTTCTCATTGGAGACAATAATGATTACAATAATGTGATTCTGAAATAAAAACAGTTTGTCTGAGTTTATTTCTGTTCATGAACAAAACTGAAGAAGATGACTCATGCACAGCAATGGTCATGAATCAGGGATGAGAAGTTTCCACTGATCCGCAGAATTCCACGGACTTGATCACACCGGGTCATTCTTGTAAATTGTCTAAACCTGCAGCCCCCAAGAACCATGGCACATTTTCCCCTTTTTTTTTCACTCCTACCCATTCTCATCCCTGATAAATGACTCATACCTACTATAGTGTACAGATCACATTGTGGGTCCTGATATTCACAGCATTCATAACATTACGATATGTCGTAACTCTACAGTTTACCATTGGCTTACAAATGTATAGCGTACCAAACACTTTGTGGGTCGGGACCCATATAATCATTTATATGGAAGCATGCTGTAGTCTGATTATGTTCCCTTCAGATGTAACCCCTACTTTGTCCGCTGTATCAAGCCAAACACAACCAAAGCAGCGATGGAGTTTGAGGATCGTGTCGTTATGGAGCAGCTTCGTTACAGCGGAATGTTGGAAACAATCCGCATACGGAAACTTGGATATCCAATCAGGATCAAGTTCAGTGATTGCATTGAAAGGTGATTGAAAAAGGTTTCATTTAACAAGTAAAAATCTATTCAATATTGGGATGGAGAATATACCACATAAAAGATCAGGAGTTATAGTGTTCCAGTAGACGAGCACTTGTCAGGGCTGAGTGTCCTCAATAGTAGTACTCACAGAGTCAATGTATGTGCTCATACCTTCAACCATCGGAGTGCTTGCTCCAGAGAAACTTTTAGCATTATGTACCCATGCTTAGTACAATAACATTTACGCCTTGTGTTGCATGTTTAGAATAGGATGTTATTTCTTTTGTTAATGATTTGACATTTAATGTCTGTCTGTATTTCAGGTACCGGTGTCTGATCAGGGAGAAGTATTTTGCCAACAGGCATCTGCCAGCTGATGTGTGTACCAAAATTCTGCAGTCCCAGGGTGCAGCATTTACCCAGCAGTTCCAGGTTGGAACATCCAAGGTAAGCAGCCATAGTCAAAATGTTTGTCAAATCCATATTCTCTTATATCTATATAGTTTATACAGTTTTAGTCTCTTTTTCTCAAATGACTTGAATGAGTAAATATTATGTCAGTGTGTTGAAGTGTTAACAAAATAGAGAAATGAGCAATGGAAAAAAAATTAAAGATTGTTTGGAAAAGAATTTGTTTAGAAAGTAATGTACAAGTTGTTGATAATCTCTTGGAAAAGAACTTCTGGAAATTAAGAAAGCCTGATATAAAATTATATATAGTGGTGTGTCTTATGTAATAACATAGTTGTAGTATCATGAACCACTTACACATGTTGAGAAGCTTGGAGTTTACACAGTTGTCACAGCTGCAAAATATTACAGATTTATAGGCATTATACAGGGGTGTAGCTACCATTATGAAAAACAAAGCCTGGGCTTACACATGATGTTGCTAAAAGGGTGGGGCAAGCCCTCAAGCTAATCTAAATATGAAGTTTTGCAACCTATCGGGTTTACACAAAAAATATTGGCTTGCTATGCACCTGTTACATATTACCATGCTTGAGTTCATTTAGAAATAATTTTTGGTCCAAAACCTTTACAACCATCTTATATTCTTGCTTGATTGATCACTGCTAACAAGAGTTACATCCCTTGAACTGTAGCCTCTGGCCTAATTTGTGCAATAATTGTCTTTGTGGGTAAAAAAATATAATTTATGTTCATGTTTGAAGTTGAACATGCTGCATGTAGACACATGACAGCACCGTCTGGAATATGAGACAGACAGGGAAGATATGACACTCCCTGCCATGGTTTAACGGAATATATTCCCACATTGACTGTACATTTGACAGATTGTCGAATGCATTCTGGAAGTTTGGATTGTGTTCTATTTTAGGAGTTTAAATGTGAAACACACAGTGGTTGACTTATGTGGGGATCATGGATCAGAAGATTTCATTTCCTCTGTTATGGGCATGTTGTTTAGTTGCCTTGTCTTCAAGTGATCTGTAATTGGAATGTAATCACATTAATTAAGTTTTTAGCGCAAAGTGCATCCTTGTGTACTTGTGTACAGAGGGTATGAGAAAGATGTTCCGGAATTATCATATTAGACGATGTGTCAGTGCATTGTAACAGTAGCAACAAATTACCTTCAGGCGATTTATTGCCAAGAAAAATACCTTGAATTTGGACAACTTTGAAGGGAGATTTTGGATTTGGGCAAATGCCATTATTACGTTGCAGTGAGTAGGATTGACATTATCACAGCAAGATGTACACTCGCCAGGGCATTGTGAGCTACCTGAACTCCCTTCAGACTATGCTGGAAAGTGAGGATGAACAGGATGTGCATTGGAATATTTCTCCATCAGAAGACAATTTTTCATATATCTCAACTCTGGACGAGAATTATTCTTTCATTCCCCCTTCAGAGGATTCCTACCAATCTCCCTCAGCAGACAACAGCATCACACTGTCCTTTGTGTCGTCTGCTAGTGACCTCACTGAGGATGATACCTCCATCTTGCCACCAGATTATGATGAGATTTATGATGATGCTCATGTTGACATGAATTCCAATCATTTGCAGGTGTTTATGAAGGAGACATTTGAGCAGCATCTTGATGCTGAGGCTGCAAAGATCCAGACAGTAGCTGTTATTCACATCCAGACATTTGTCCGAGCCTGTTTGGCCAGGAAGAAGTTCCTGCGTATGAAGTCATCGTCAATGAAGATACAGAAGATGGTGCGGATGGCAGTCAGAAGGTAAACATCCCAGCAGTATTTTAATGAACAAAGGCACTCTCCTTCCCCAGACTGATGAAATGATCATATTTTATCTGAGAGTCATTGATTATGTGTTGACCACTGTGCTGTGTAAATAGATGTCTGTCTGTCTGTCTGTCTGTCTGTCTGTCTGTCTGTCTGTACATTGTTGAATGGTCTGCAGTAATAGAGGCATCTGTCATACCTTGCAGCTTTATTTACATCCACCTTCCTGTAGTTTCCATGCATATCCCCATTCATTATGCTCCTGTTACCTGTATTCCCTACCAGCTGTCTGTAGGAGCTGACCCTTTACCTGCCCAATCTGCAATCTTGTATTGTGAGACTCACATTACACTTCCTGGTCCCCGGGAATCCCGAAATAGGTAGCTATCCCACAGCTGGTGAGAAGACACCATGACCAGAGTGAACAGTCCGATCTATTTCTCAGAGAAGTTTAAGAAGAAAAATGTTTCAAAATTGTTAATTTCCACAGTGGGTCATACAACACAACACATTAAGAAAAGCTGATTATTCTGTGTGTTTACTAAGGATTGTATCATTTTCTTAAAATCTCTTAAAGAACACACTAGGTTTTATAATGTCTATAAGCATTTGTTCAGATTAATACTTCCAGGGTTCTTGTGTGATATATCTAAGTAATATCAATTTCTGGCCCCTGAAGGAAGAGGTCAGGTGCTTGTATTGTAGCTGGGCATGAAATTAAGACATTACTATGCACAGACACATGGCTTCATTGGATCCTCTTACAGGATCACCTGTCACCTCTTCTGTAGTCTGTAGTGCACACACAGGCTGTATGTGGCTGCAGTTTCCATTTCAGGGAATTCGGCAGTTACGGTTGTGATTTTACAGGTAGGCTTGGTATGCACATGAGTCAACACTATGTTTATATCAACATGCAGCTCTGTGCCTTTGTGAACCAAGCACCTGAGTGTCTAAGTCCAAGTATATCTGTGACTGAAGTAGGCGTGTTATCAATAGAGCAAGGTCTTCAAAACACCTGTCTTAGATAATGGTGTCATAGCTGGTAACATCCACAGTTCCAGGAAATATCTCCCCTGTGGGTAAGTTGGCCCTCGTCACATATTACAGTTACTATGAGATTATATTATGAAACAATTGTGTCTGTTTGTTATTGGCTCCTACCTATATATCTACTGATATATTATATGCCACTCTGACATTATCACACAATTATCAGGTCGATGTTTATCTTCACTTAAAATACCCTCGAGACAAGTCAAGTTGAAGGACTACAGTTATCAGGATTTGTTTAAAAATAAATTGACACGCTACTTACGTACATTTTTCATGTTGTGAAATAGATTCCTCCAAGTTGTTCTTTGAACACTTTACCAATCCTTCTATATGCTGGCCATCTAGATCATGTTTCTCCTGTTTGCTTGAATCAAATACAGGCGTGTTGTTCAGTCCTGCAATTAACCCCATAGGGTGTTTGTCTTGTAATCTACCAGTAATTCAATCGGCAAGTTCTCATTTCGCCTACATCCCAATTCGCCTACAGTCTTAAAACAACATTTCATGGTCTGTTGACTTTTGATTACGCAATGGTAAACTAGTGGCACCCCTATGATCTAAAAGTGGACTCTTCTAGTTAAAGTAGTTGAAGGACAAAAAGAATTTATTTCTGTTATATTTCTGTTATTTGTCAGTTATTTATTTATTCTGTTATTTGTCATTTCCCGATCACAATGACATTCACATCATATCACAAATTCACATCATATCACATTAGTATTAAGGAAGTTAACTTGTGCAGATGTCCATTTAGGAGATAAATATACTGTGTTGGAAAATTAGAGGTGTACATGTATAATGAAATTATAATAGCTCTAAATTTGAATTAAAAACCCTACGTATAGCATGAGGTTTTAAATACAAAATTTAGAGCTGTTATAATTTTGTCTCCATTCTACCATAGCTCTGTTATTAAGATTAAAAATAATACATACTGTATTGGAAAGTCAGAGGTATATAACATGATTATATAACTCTGAATGACTTTGATTAACCACAATCCAGTATTTATTGAAGGCATGGTAGAATGTCACTTCAACTTGAAAAGGTGACCAGCCGTGTCAAGGACCTAAATAGTTCAAGCATTTTGAACATTTGTGATGTGCTTTCTTTGAATAAAAATGTCAGTTGAAACATTTGGTAGATAAAATTTAAGGTGTAATGATTTTAGTGCAATTTCTATTTCCATCAGTGAAAATGACATTGCTACTTTTCGATAGACACAGAGACCAAACAAAGAGAAAGCCTTAAACTGGTTGTAAACAGTCTTTATTCACATGTTCTATGCATTTAGATAAACAATTTCCAAACTGTTTCGATGTTTTAAAGGTCACATAAACCCTAGGGGGTAAAAATACATCAATCACTAACTGGCATCATTATAAATGAAACCCCGTCATTAAAACTACTCATTTCGACCTTTAAATGACTTAAATCGACCTTTTTGACAACAGTGCACAATTCTCACCCGCGAACGAAATTTCAACCAATCAGAGCGGCGCGCGTCTGTGACATCATATGAGGAATAGCTTTGAGGGCCGATGCAGAATTCATCTACATTTTAGGGGTTAAATTATCTTGTTTACAGGCTTGTATAAACCTGAAATCGTGACAATTGTTGTGGAAAATAAAAGCTATATGTTCTCACAATCTACTGTCATTTAATTTTGTCTCCTGCTTTGCCTAGTTTCCGAGTTACAACTTGTTTTCGTGAGGCGATTCTGTCAAAATCGATTGGTGTCGTTAGGCCCTATTTGTATAATGACTGATCCAAATCGATCCCATTTCTGTGTTTTTACCTCGATATTTAATCATGTCATGTAAAAATCTGTTTGTATTCTCAAAAACAGTGTCGGCCCATAAGTTTTCACATGCAATACAGCAATTAATACTCCCTTCTTGTAACCCGTGTTAGGTGGTATAAACCTACACATGTTATTTGTCATCATTCACTTGATGGTCAGTTAATGAATTTATAACAGGTATAATTAGTGGTAACACACTTAGATTACCCGACAAAGGTTCCCATTTGGCATTTCTTGTGTCTGGAGTAAATATTCAACATTATAAACATCGATCAAAGGATTAACCGATAACACGCTGATTGATTAATTACTTTTATCTTACACAGCGGAATTGTCAAAAGGTAGTGTTTATGTATGTAGATTTACTAATCTATACTGAATACACTCTGTCGTGTCGGTGTCTGCGTAAAACAACGTCCTTCTTTCAAAGGATTAACCGGCAATAAATTGATTGATTGCCCATTATTGGCTAACTAAATTACTGTTTTTAAAGAAAAGCGGACATTATGCAATTAGTTGCCAGGTGTGCTATCTTGGGTGACCAATGAGACTATACACCAATACCTGAAAAGATTTATCACTTTTAGGTATATTAAACTGTTAAAAGACACATCATTTGGAACAGTTTTGTGGATATTGATGGATACATTCCTCGAACAAGGTAATGGCCTGATATTGTTCCTATAACTTTAATCTGTTTTAATTTTAATATTTGCATTTTGATTTGATTCATTTGTCGTAGCATTCAACAGAATCATTGTTTTCGCCGTGAAGTGTAATGAGTCAGACAACATGCACTAGGGTGTGTGTGCGAATTATGATTCATATTGGCAAACTATAAAATGTCTAGATATTACAGTTATGTTATAAATTCACTATAAGTATCAGCAGATTGTCTGCTTTTTATTATTTTATTTAGTTTCAAAATGCATACAAGTATGATAATAAACTAATCAGGAGTATAAGACCAAATATAAAGACGCACATTGACTAGTATCTACATACTGGTGAGTGGACATTAACCATGGGAATGTAGCAAGAAATGTATCGCAAGCAGTATTGTGACTTCGACCCCCACCTCGGCCTCGTGGAAGAAATCGTTATGTTATAAGTTGTGTCATGCAAAATCCGTTTGGTTATGATTTCAATACATATTTAACTACGAGTAGAAAGTAGTCTTGATTATCTAACTTGATGAAAACAAACTATAATCTCATTAATTCTAACAGATTTTTATTTTTAAAAAATGGCTCTGTCGGGAACATCCGCCAGTCTGAGGATAAATGGTATTTAGGTTTGTTTTCACCGAGTTACAAAATCAAACTACTTTCTACTGGTAGTAAAATATGTATTTTATTGATGGCCAATAGGATTTTGCATGACATAGCGTATAACATAACAATTTCTCTCGTGGCAGCGAGGTGGGTGTCAATATAATACTACTTACAATATTATTGTTACTTAGACCACAACCTCACTTCGAGGAAGAAATCGTTATGTTACAAGTTGTGTCATAGAAAATCTTTATGGTCATCAATCATATGCATATTTTACAACAACTAGTAAGTAGTTTTGATTCTTTAACTTCAGTGAAGCGATCTGAACACAAGTAAGATATCGCTTCAGGCTTCCACAACGCTTCGCCAAGACTCACAAACATAACCGATTTAGCACGAACTGCGGGTCCTGTGGAAATCTGTACATGGGGACACCATCGCCCGACCCTAGGAGCAATTGGCGACAAAGCAACGATTCGCATGTCATCGTTGATGAGAAATCATCAAAATGATGACCGTGCTACACATTCTATACAACTAACTGAAAATCGCTCATATGACGTCACTGCAGTGCTCTGGCTGCAATCGAGTTCGTAGAACTCTGTCTGTGGTTTTATGTTGGCGGGGCAGAGGGAAGCAGGCGAATTTTTGGCCACTTTTAATCGCCGGTATTAATTAACCACAAGTTTTTAAAGAATAAATTTGGTGTTCCGCATAAGACTAACCACAAATCTTTCATATGTAATGGTTAAAAGAGTAACAAAAAACAAAGTTTAGTGGTTCTTTAATATACCAGCTATGATTTAATTTGACATATATAAACGTTTATGAAATACAAGGAATTATGCGATATTTG